TGGGACACCCGCGAAGACGGCGGCGGGTAAGAGGTCGGCTCCGCAGCCGGGGAGCTGGGGGTTATGCAAGCGGGGAAAGAAAACCTCCGCCCTCGCCCTTCTGCCAAGTCAAGTCTGGGAATTTGTAGGTATTGTGGTAAGCTGAGTGTTCATCTGGCGGGTCTGGTTAGTGTAAACCAAAATTTAAAACGCGCCTCCCGATCACTTTTTCCTCAGTGGATAAAGGTTATCATTGGCTGTGGCTTAAAAGCTTAAAAAGGCTTAAACGCGAGGAAGGAGGCAGTCCTCTGGAAAAACAGGATATCAAGTGCAGCAAACAGGTCCCAAAAATGATCAGAAAAGTCCCACGGCCATCTCGTAAGAACAGGCAAAGTCTGCCTGCAACCGCTCTGGAGCTTCCTAATACAGTAATTTCTCGCAGCCTGCCCTGTTGAACAGGGCAGCTGGGTAGAGATGGTGCTAAGATTCAGTCTTCCGTACGATCTAGGTAGCTCCGATGTAAAGAGCCAGGATTTCAATGGTTGTCTTACCCTGCCACTCCCCCAGCTGGAGGTAGGCTGTCTTAAAATATGTCCATTTGACAAAGCACAAGCAGGGGTATCTCACTGCTGTTTAATTTTTATTTCTTTGATTATTACTTTTTTCCCTTTTGCTTCTTCCTTCCACCCTGCTATTCTCATGAAGCCTCTTTCCCCCTTTCCAGGGCATGTGATGGAAGGCAGTGGCAAATATGGCTTGATCTTCTGAAAACGCATTTGGGAAGCAGAGCCAGCACCAAAGTGAGATAAGTGAGATACTTTTCAGAGGCAAAATGTAAAGGGTACCAATAAACGTAATCAAGATAAAGATTTTAGTACAATTTTTAAAAAATAAAAATGTGAGAATCCAGAATGGACACAATATCCACATTTTAAATTTTAAAAACATTAAAATTTAAATTTTAAATACATTAAAATTTAAATTTTAAATTTTAAATATTGCACTAAGATATTTATACTACTGAGTTTATTGGCACCCATTAAATTTTGTACCTGAGCCGAGTGCGTCACTCACCTCACCCTAGTCCTGATCCTGTTGGGAAGTCTGGAAAGTCAAGGATTTCATGGAGTTAGGGATCCTTGACTAATTGGTGCTTCATACCTTCTCACTACTTGCTTTGGGTAAGTCCTGTACAGGCAGGAGCCACCATGCCCAGCCCCCAAATATATTAAATAGGGTCTGTTACCATCTCAGTGACTGTCTTAAAACAAATAAGCTACAAACTTCCAGCACCATTTCCTAGCATCTTGGGTGAGGTTATGGGAAGGCAGCCTCTGCCTCTCAGCAGACTGTTACTCTGTGTAAATCACCAGACTGCAATTCTCAGGGGCAACCAATGCTTGTCTCCTTTCCATTACAGCAACTCCTTCGGAGTAGGGGTAATAAAAGACTTTGTCAAACAAAATACATGTTTTGTATTGGATTAATGTTTACATAAAAAGGGAGAATGCTAGTAGTCTGTGTGCAAACACTGCTAGTTTTCTGCCCTTATTACCTCCTTATTTCTAAATAAATCTCTCGCCTTCCTACTTTCAAACTTGGCCAAATGAAAATGTGTATTCCCCAGGGGCATCGTGGAGCTGCCAGATGTGAGCTTGTCTAAGGGAAAACTCTTAAGTTTTCCTGAAGGAGAGGCGGGTCTCCACTCTCTGCTCCAGGTTTTATGTGAAAAGAAAAGCCCAAGGAGGGGGCTTAGAAGGTAAAATTCCAATCAGAAATTATTGCCAGCTTCATCCTACCCTCGGCCCCTGTCTCCAATCCCAAAGGATAAGACAATGGTTAGCGTATACATTGAGTAAAATGTCCTTTGGATTCCAACTGTGGCCTAGTTATTTCATAATCTTTGTGAGAAGGAAGAAAATGATACAATAATTTAACAAAGATGACCAAAATGGAGCCTTTCTCCTTTCAAAATTAAGGCTTATGAGAAAAGAATAGAACAACAAATGTGCCCAGGACAGGGCAATCAGGGTTGCAGTAGATCTAAGGATGGGAGTGGCACAGAGGAAGGATCACCCCTTTGCCTGGGGAGCCTGGGAAGGCATCAACCAGCAGAATCCTTTGAGCCGAGTCTAGGCTTTCCGACAGGAGTTCTTCCAGCAGCAAAGAGGAAAGGGAAGGCTACTGGCTGCAAAGAGTATAAAGTATACAGGTAGGAAAGCCATGGCGCTTCAGGTAAGTGGCCAGGTGTGCCCCACTTGTGGCAATGAGTAACAGGAGATGAAGTAAGTAGGAACCTGATAGTTAAGACCTCAGAGGGCCTGCAGATGGGTCTCAACTTTTTCCTGGAGAGACACCGAACATTCCAGCGGGCAAGTAGCATAACGAGTGTTAATGCTTTATAAAGGCGATTTTGTGATGGATAAATATTTTTCTCTTCTGTAATTTCCCTCCAGAAACAGCTCACCTCAAAACAGGGTATTAGAGAAAGAGAAGATCCAAGTCTGAAGATGATTTACGCTCTGTATAATCAAAATTGAAACTGTCTGTGGATACTGTTTAGATCAGCTGGAGGAAGCGGGGAAGGGGGAGCCAGAACCTTAGACTAGCGCGTTAATATTCATGTCCCTGTTGCTGTGCTGGTTGTTGCCATTTATAGAATGTTAATGGGCTTCTGCAAAGGTCTGCCTGGTCAGGGTCTATCATACATTCCACACATGCTCCGCTGAACAGAATCCAACCACCTGGGCCATGGGATGGAACGCGCAGCAGTACAATGACACCGAAACCTTCCAGAGCTCTGCTGGCCCTGCTCCAGCCTATTCCCCACCCGACCCTGAGCCCCACTTCAAACTCTGCCCCACACCTGTGCTCCTGTGGCGGGCTCTTGTCTGCCCTGCCGTGTCTTATTTTGGCCCCATCTCTGCTCTGTATTCTGTTGCAGTGACTCAGGCAAAGCTTCACTTAATACCTGCAAAGAGGTGGAGGGATCAGAGGCAGCCCCGTTGAGCTTGCTGATGGATGCAGGAGGAGATGGCCTGGTGCCTCTCTTCCTCAGGGCCTGTGGCTATGATCCCTGCTCGCTAGGACGCCATTTGGAGAATAGCATAACATTCTCCATCTTCTGTGGGTCGGATGTTGGGTTGTGTCTTGGGTTTTTTTTTTTTTTTTAAGAGACAGAGTCTCACTCTGTGGCCCAGGCTGGAGTACAGTGACACAATCACAGTTCACTGCAGCCTTGACCTCCCAGACTTAAGGAATTCTCCCACCTCAGCCTTCTGAGTGACTGGGACTACAGGCATGTGCCACCATGCCCAGCTGAATTTTTTTGATTGTTTTTGTAGAGATGGGGTCTCACTATGTTGCTCAAGCTGGTCTTGAACTCCTGGACTCCAGTGATCCTCCTGCATCAGCCTCCCAAAGTTCTGGGATTACAAGCGTGAGTCACTTGCGCCAGGCCCCTGTCTTGGACTTTTAAGTTCGTATGTCAATCCAAGGGTCTCTACTAAATACTTGCTATATATCCAGGACACTAGGGCAGGTGCTCCAGGGAGGATAAATAGCTATATGGATAATCTCTACTCTACCTGGGGAGATGGGTAGATCAATTCGTCAGTCCTTTATTTAACAGTCAGTTGTAAGTGTCATGTCATTTGGAGCACTGGGGAAACAAAAAATGACAACACACAATGGCCCTTTATTAGTCAGGATTGGCTAGGTC